CCTCCCGGATTTCTGCCCAGCATGTTAATATTCCAGCCAAGGATGAACGTGCCTCGCTCTCTGCAGAGAAGTTGGTTGAATATTTAACCCGTTGGCACTCAAGAGTTGCTCGGGCTGTTTAGGATATTTTGGGTGTTCTATTTTTCCTGCCGGCCTTTCTCCCAGCCCTGTGCCATTTCTAGCCAGCAGGTGATCTACAAACTGCTTCCTGAAAATGGTAACAGTGAAAGAAACTGGGGGGAAATCGGTGGGAAAGGGTTTATCTTAATTATTATCTTGGTTGTACCCGATAGAAACAAATATCTCGGTTACACCAAATAACTCCAGCTACCTCGGTTATGCTTTGGAACAAGACAATGTTTGGGTTTCACCTGTGTTTTCTCAGTTGGGTTGCACATGACTGGATGTGTGTTGTACCAAAAATACATTTAATATTTGGGAAAACCCTCGTGGCCGTGAACCAGGCGCTCGTTAGCTGTGCCATAGCGGGACATTCACCCCAAAATAAGGAATATTTCCCAAAACGACTGAGGGAAGGGAACTGAGCTGCTGAAGAGGTGAGAAATAGCATTCCTACACCAGGAGGGATCAGTGGGATAACATCTCCCTTCCCAACACCGGGTGTGTTCCCCCAGGAATTCGGAGAAGCTTAAAAACAGCCAGATTTGGGCTTATGGGGAATTTTTAAGTGTGACTGGCAGTGCTGGGGAGCAGCATCCAGGAATTCTGAGTTCCTGAGGAAAAGTGACACCACCAAACACATTTTTATCACCCCAGATTTCATCAGGTTTTCTACAGTTTTGCCTTTAGTAAATTTAAACACCACCAACATTCTTGGAGGTCTTAGAGGGTTTTTCCAGCCTAAATGAGTGTATGACTCCCTCACCCTCATGCTCAGGCCTTTCCAATATCCATAATTAGAGTCTGGTTTAATTAAGTTATGGGGCAGCAAGGGCAGAACTTCCCCTATTTGGGAATTGTGGCTTTTCACAATGGGGAGGACAGGGCTGGTGGCAGCTCTGGTGGCACTGAGAGGTGGCCATGGATGGGATGGGATGGGCAAGTGACCACCCAAAACATGGATTTATGGGATCACACAATTCCATGGATTTATGGGATCATGGATTAATAGAGTCATGCACTCATTTGGGCTGGAAAAACCCTCTAAGACCTCCAAGAATGTTGGTGGTGTTTAAATTTACTAAAGGCAAAACTATAGAAAACCTGATTAAATCTGGGGTGATAAAAATGTGTTTGGTGGTGTCACTTTTCCTCAGGAACTCAGAATTCCTGGATGCTGCTCCTCGTGTTCCTGTCAGAGGAATTCTCTGAGCAAGCGGTTGTTTGGAGTTTGTGCTGGAATTTGGATGGATAACAGATAATTTTACACGTCAGCCTATGAATATTCAGCGGAGAGGATTTCCACAAGCCTTGATAAATTTAATATACCAGAGAAAAATAGCATGTAAATTAAACAGGGCCTTGTAAATTAATAATGGATTCCACTTGTATTTTTATATGTGAGCTGACTGAATATTTTATAAGTGCAAAAATGTTTGTGTTCAAAAAAAGGAAAGGTGAAGTTTTTCTGATGAGCACTGTGGATGGTTGGCTGCATTTTAAACGGGGTGTCCATGTGTGTTTTTACAACTCCTGGGCTTTCTTTTCCTCAAACACATCTTGTATTTTCAACTTTGAGCTGTTGGAAAGTCCACAATTATGTTGAATTAATTTGTTTTTCCAGACCTCTTGTGGTTTGCAGTTGTGCGTGTTTGACACTCGTCTCTTTTTAATTTTGACAGGAAAATGAAATCTTAGTGAAGGGTTGAGTCTTTTCCATGCACCTTCCCTGCTTCTCCCATGTCCTGGGAGAGGGATCTGCTGCAGGGGCTCTTCCATGAGCCCAGGCCTCACTTGCCAAAATGCCCTTTCCATCCCCAAAACATCCCCTGGCCTGTTTCTACCTTGGAATAATCCACAGTTTTCCTGGTTAATTAGCAGCTTTGCTTGGAATAATTTCCCTTTGGCACAGGGTGAGGCTGGTCAGGATTAAAGCATCCCCCACCCTCAGAGAGTGACTCTGCTTCCCAAACCTCGAGCACTTCCACCACCCCAGGGGTTCCATGGAATGGTGGAATTGTTTAGGTTGGAAAAACCCTCTCAGGCCATCAAATCCAACCCTCAGGTTGTAAAGATCTTTTAGTGTTGTTAAATTGCAGCTTGCTTTGAGAAAAGTGAATCTCTCTTAGTGCTTTTAATGGCACTTGGGCACTGAACAACAATATATTCATTATATAATAATAATAGTAATAATAATAGTAATAATAAAACAACAGCTTTGAGGAGGAGAAGAAGAAAAGAAGAGGAAGAGGAAGGAGAAGGAAGAGAAGAAGAGGAAGGGGAAGAAAAGGAGAAGGAGGAGAAGAAGAAAAGAAGAGGAAGGAGAAGAGAAGAGGAAGGAAAAGAAAGGAAGGAGGAGAAGAATAAGAAAGGAAGAGAAGAAGAGGAAGAAGAGGGAGGAGAAGAAGAAAAGAAAAGAAGAGGAAGAAGAGGAAGGAGAAGAAAAGGAGAAGGAGGAGAAGAAAAGAAGAGGGAGGAGAAGAAGAGGAAGAAGACAATGGTCACAATCCTGTGCTGTGTTCTCCAGGATGTCCAGGAGCTTGAACCACTTGACCCACTGTGGTTCCTCCCAGCCTGGCCCATTCTGGGATTCTGTTCAAAAATGACAGAAAATGTGAAATGTTTGAAGAGAATCCTTGCTGTTAAATCCTGGGAGCGACTCAGAGTTCCAGTGCTGGTCGTGGTGGACGGAGCCCTGTGAGCTCAGGGACTGCTCTGGAGATTTATGGGCTAAGTTAAATTGTTGTTAATGAGCAATTTTGTATGGAGAATTGTCCTTGTGGTGCTTCCTAAATTGCCCCATTGTCCCTCTAATTAACCAGGACTCCAAAGGCCGAGCTCTGCCTCAGCAGCAGTTTTAACTTGACTTACAAGGGCTGGAAATCAACAACTTAAAGTTAACAAAGACAAACTAAAAATTTATTCATTGACCAGCACCATCTTTCCTGTGTGTTTTAATATCTTTTTGCCACTGAGATACCCAATGAATTGTTCCTGTGCAGCAACAAATCGGGCAGGAAGAACAAAGTAGCTCAGTGGAATAGATAAATCAAATTTAGGCCTGGTAGTTTATTGAATCTAAATTGTGCCCAGTTGGCCCACGAGCTATATGAGCAATCCATCTTGTGCTGATAATGGAGGGTCTTGAAATCCACCTGATGTTTGCATTATTAAATTCCAGCCTAATGAGCTCTGCTAATACATATTGAAGACAGTTGTAAGGAGCAGAATGGGAATCGGAGCGGGATAATTTGAAAGAAACATAAGCTGAGCATTTTACATGACTCAAGGGGTATATCTACAATTACACATATCACCAAAATTGAATTTAAATGGAATTTCTATTACCCCCATCCTTTTACCAAGGAGAATAAAGTGTAAATGAAGTAAAAGTCTTTAGAGTTACTAGTGGTTTGGTTTTATTATGGGATTTAATAGTTTCTTGTAATGATCTTCAGTGGCAGAAAAGTTTTAATATTTCATGGCTTTAAATGTTGTCTAAATATGTATAAAAGTGTGGAGATGGGAGCAGCTGTGTGTGCAGTGATCACTCTGTAACACCCTGCTCAGGTTGTGTGTTTAAAGGTGGAGCTGGTGGCTCCAAAAAGGAACGACCCCTTCGCCCCCTCCTGAGCTGAATTTGGTTTTCATAAATTATTGCTTGATTCAGGAGGTGCTGGGATTAAATATTTGCAAATCTGACCCAGCTCTCACAGTTCAGAGCACAGTTTATAGTGATTTTCCTCCCTGAGAAGGTTTAAATGCTGGATTCCTGCTCCTTGTTGGTTCTTTTCTTTCTGGCCTGGTGATACTTTTGAAAACTTAATATTTCATCAAGTATAATGTTATTAGAGACTTATTCTCACTTAGTTCACTCATCAGGCAGTGAGATGGCAATAAAAGAGAATGGCTCCTTTGAGACATTAATGCTTTGGAATAAATGATGTGCTAGAACAGAAATTTAATTAATTTACAGAGTATATTGATAGTCCCTTGTTACTGTGCTGTATATTTTTAATCTTCTTTAACATCTGTAGGAAAGTGTTTGAAAACCCCTGCAGTTGAGCAACTGGTAGATAATTAAGTAATAAGGGAAGAGGTTTCTAGAGGGGAAAAGATTCTTTTTAAAGAAGATTGTTGTAACATGGATTAAGTACTGCTGCTGTGATTTGGAGTGAAGAGAAAATTGTGTACTACCTAATAAAGTCATGAGGAAGAGCTGTCTGATTGCCACTCTGAACAGAGTCTGCAGCCCTGGAAATATTGTTTTGTTTCTGTTTTTATCCTCAAAATAGGCCTGATGGATTACTCAGTGTGGCAGCAAATCTGCCACTTTATGAATGTGCCATGTTTGGGTCGCCACAGTTCGGTCTGGGGGCAACTGGGGTGGGGAGATTGGGGTTTAAAGAAAGAAAACCTCTTAAAAGTCTCTTGAGGGCTTTACTTAACACAAAATGAATGTGGGGATTTGTATAGAATTAATATTGCTCTGATATTGACCTGATATTGCCCTCCATAATCCCATTTATGCCGTTCCTTAACTGCAGGAATGACTTTAAATCAAATAAATGGAGATCCAAGGGCTGGTCTGTCGTGCACATGGATTTCATTGTGGGGCCTGCAGGAAGGAACATGAAATTGGGTTTAAAGCCCAGGAAATGTTGTTTGGCAAGAGGTTGTTGGCAATTCATCCCTGGCAGTGCCCAAGGCCAGGTTGCACATTGGGGCTTGGAGCAGCCTGGGACAGTGGGAGGTGTCCCTGCCATGGCTGGGGTGGGGCTGGGTGGGATTGAAGGTCCTTCCAAACCAAACCTTTCCATGATTCCATGACTTGAGAGGATAAATTTAACTGATTCCAGCTCCTGTTGTCTCCTTTTTAGCTAAAGCAGACGAAGCGTTGAAGGCCAAGGAGAGAAGTGAAGAAGAAGCCAAGAGAAGAAAGGAAGAAGGTGAGGAATTTTCTTTGATTTCATAATGAACTAAAGTCCAGGAAGTCAAAAATTACTATTTTTAAGTGTCCAAGCCCCAGTGGGGCTGTGGGATTTTCCTCCCTGGGCTGATGATGGAATATGGTGCCCTGAGCTGCTTGTTTGCAGTCCAGCAGGTGGAATAATTAAATGGATTGAAATATCAGAGAGTGATGGGAAGAGACATTTCCAGCATCGTGAGGGAGTCAATCCAAACAATCCCAGGAGCCTCAAATCCTCACTGGAGCTGTGTGGATCTGGGGGGGCTTTAGGGTCCCTTCCAACCCAAACCATTCTGGGAGTCCATGATTTACTTACAAGAGGGAATTCAGAAAGAATCCCCGTTTTTGAATCTGCAGCTGCTGAGAATTTCACTCAAAATCCAAATGTTCTAATCTTTAGTTTGTTTTACCTGGGGACTGGGGGATGCTGAGAGGAATTAATTGGATTAACCTAATTAATCCTGCTTGGAGAAGGTTCTTGTGATACCAAGGAAGGAAATTCAAGTGGAAAAGTGGGATAGACCAGACACGGCAGGAGGGGCAAGGGGCACTTCCAAATCTGACAGAAAAGAGACCAAACCAACCTGATTCCTGGATTTTGGAACCAATGGCCCAGGGAGAGCCTTTCCACCTGGAGCAGTCACCCAGCTAGGCTCCCACGGGCACAGGGATATTGGGATGAGGTGGTTGGGTCCCACCAGCACCATTTTCAGGGAATGTTTGGAAAACATGGATTTTTTTGTGCTTACATCCCATTGTGAGTGGCACATGTGCTGGCATTTGCTGTGCCAGCAGGGATTGGGAAGGGTGGAAAAGCAGAGGGAAGAACAAAGGGGCAGTTCATGACTTGGGAACAATGGAATTTCCAGGGAAATGGGGAGGAAAACTTCTCTACAATTTATTAAGAAGCCGTGAAAACTGTCCAGGGGTGGCTCTGAAGGGTTGTGAGGATGCCACAGTGTTCGAAAATGAAGAGAGGATTTTTTCTGGGTAACTCAGATTCACCCATTTGCTGAGGAGTTTGCTCCTGGTTTGGAATGAAAGAGTTTATTCTCACTGGAAAATAAAAAGTCTTATTAAATTGTGTATGGAGCATTCCAGGACATCCAGGGCAGCTGCAAACTGGGACCCTTCAGTTTTTGTTAGGTTTATGTCCCATATGGATTCAGAATTCCAGTTTTAGGTAAGTTTATGTCACATACAGATTCAGAATTCCAATTTTTGTTAAGTTTATGTCCCATATGGATTCAGAATTCCAATTTTTGTTAGGTTTATATGCCATATGAATTCAAAATTCCAGTTTTAGGTAGGTTTATGTCCCATAAGGATTCAGAATTCCAATTTTTGTTAAATTTATGTCCCATAGGGATTCAGAATTCCAATTTTTGTTAAGTTTATGTCCCATATGGATTCAGAATTCCAGTTTTAGGTAGGTTTATCCCATATGGATTTGCAAACAGATCATTTATCCAGTGCTTAGACTGTGTTCCCTTCCCTGTCCCAGCCGTGCTGGGCTCCAGTGGCATCTTTTGCTTGGGAAAAGAGCATTTTGCATTTTTTCTTAATTCTTCCTTCCTCACACAATATCTCTGGGTGGTTTTTAACCCTCTTTGATCCCTCATGGGATCACTGAGATTGGAAAAAACTTCCCAGATCATCGATTCCAAGCTGTGACTGATCTGTGCTACGTCCAGCCATTGAAATAAGATAAAGCAAAATTACATTAAATTAAGTCTTAAAAAAAAATTCTAAATTACAATTTAAAAAGAATTTTTATTTCTCTAATATTCCTTATTTTATTTCCCTAACTAGAACCCTCCAAAAGGAAATTCCAGCCTGTGTAGACAGCCTGTGACTCCTTTACCCAGGAGCTGCAGTAAAAATAATTCTACAAATAAACCAATCCTTTCCCAACTGATAAAAACTGGTTATTGCCCACCCCATAGCGAGGGTGTTTTAACATTCCTTTTATTGTCATTTTATTGCCAAATCAGGTGTGAGATTAGACATTGGATGTTCCATGTAATCTGCTTGGAAATCAAATTATTTGACCTCCAAGCCCAGCACTGCCCCTTCCTGCTGGTTTCCTGTTAAATATGCAGCATTTCCCCAGCATGAATAAAAAATTGAGGACAAATTAGAATCTACAGACAGCTGACCCCAGCTCAGATTAGAGACTGGGGGCTTGTGCTGGTTTAAATGTTTTAATTACCACAGTCCCTCCAGCCCGGTGAAGGACACACAGCAAAATGCTGATTTTTTTTTTTCTTTTTTTTAAGTGACTAAAAAGCAAAGAAAGAAAGAAAAAGGCTCCCCCCGCCTCATTTGAATTTTTCAGTTTGATTACATTTGCACTTCCATTGGAGCTATGCTAATTTGCTGCATGAAATTAGGTCTATTAGCAAAAAAAAATGCTACTTTTGCAGGAGTATTTGCAGTGGTTGGGTTTTCCTGCTTTGGGTTTTGTTGACTTGCTTTGGGATTGCCTGAAAAGGGACAAAATGCAAAGGGGATTTTGCCACCAAACTGGGTTTTGCTCCAGACAAATTCCAAACAGGTGAAGTGCACAAGAGGAAAATTGAGGGGAAAAAGAAAATGCAAAGATAAAATCAGAACATGTTGGATGTTCTTAGGGAGAGGTTTTGGGCTCGTTTCTCTTCATCTACCACAAATAATAATATTTTAAAACATTGAGTTTCAAACACATCGTGGCAGGGCCACGCGTCCGGTGCCGTGTGGGGAGGAGGAGCTGGGGATGCGTCAGAAAACCAGGAAAAGGAGTTGTTCCAGAACACAGCAGAGCAGAAAACAGGAATTTTTGGCAATCAGTCATTCCATAGGTGGATGGATGGGAGGGTGGTGCTGGATGGGGCGGGCGTTATCCTGGGATTTGCATTTCCCGGCGCCTTTATCCCGGGATTTGCGTTTCCGTGCCTGGCGCGTGCCGGTGCTGAACTGATTAGTTCTGCCCCCCCCCAGTAATGCTGCAACATTTTGATAGACTCTGGGGAAATAAATTTGGCAGAAAATCAGCACGAGTAGATTTAATTATCACTCCGAGACCTTTCCCTTTTCTGGCTTAGTGATCCCGAAACTCCGCGCCTTTCCCTGGAATCCGCGCCGACGCCGAGCTCCGCTTCCCAATTTGTCCCTCCACGCCGTGATAAGCCAAGCAATTACTGGTTTATTGATTTTTCATCAGGGCAAATTTAAAGTTGATTTTTTTCCCTGCAAAGGCAGGGGTGATTAAGTGTTTCCCGTCGGTTTAGTCCCGGAGAGCTCCGTGGCAGAATCCAATATCCTGAGGTCAACCTCTGCAGGGAGATAATTCGGTGTCTTGGCCACGTGTGAGGGAGAGGAATAAGGGCTACAAATGTGAGGGGATATCTGTGGAGACAGTTTAATTTGTTCCATTTATATGAACAAGTCGTGTGGCACATGCTTGGAAAATAGCATTTTGAATAGGCTTGGAAATGAGGCCCACGTGGGCAGGGGGAGGGAGGGAGCGATGCAAACGAGAGCGGGAATGTGCCTGGGAGACAGCTGGCCCTTCAACATGGAATAAACCCCATCCCTCAGGGTCGTTCTGTGCTGCTGGGGTGACTTTTCTTCAGCAAAAGTGAAATTCTTCAAGTGTTCAGGTCCCTCCAAACCATTCCATGGTTGTGTGATTCCATGGTTTGGAGTGGTGGAGGGGTCATGGAAGCAAAGTTAGAAAAACCTGGAGGACTCCACTTTTAGAAAATCCCTTCATTATAAACTTTATAAACCCAAATTAAAAGTTTTAATTTTTTTTTTTTTTAATATTCATCTTTAACCTGCTGGCCAGGAGTTGTCACATGAAGAATCTCATCCATGGCCACCACAGAATATCCTGAGCTGGAAGAGACCCACAGGGCTCACACTTCCAGCCCAGGACACCCCAAACCAATGATTTCCCTTCCCACTTCCTTTAGAGAGAGTTAAAAGCCTTTCTCTGGGTGTAATGGATATTAAACCACAGCTTGGACATGCCAGGAGAAGATTTGCTGGGGTGAGGTCAGTGTGTAATAAGTTAAAGTGCTTTACTCAACCCCAGATTGGGATGCCCTTAAGTTCATCAGTTACTGCCTGAGCTCCTCATTTATCTTCAGTAAATTTTCCTGAAGTTCGTTGTGGTGGCAAAGACCAAACCCAATCTGTTTAACCCCCAAATTCTTTCATACAGATAATACATTTATATGAGGGCATGGATTGGGTTTTTTTCCTGCCTTCTCAAAAGCTGGAATTCCCAATATTCCTCATTTTTGCCTCGATAATGGCAGGTTTGGAGCCCGAGCCTGGGTGTCCCTCGTGTGCCAGTGTCGCTTCATTAGGCTGACACCAACACCTGGTGTTGTGCTGCTGCTCCCACGAGGCATTCCCAGCATCTGGCACACACCGTGGTCTTCTTTTATCTCTGTTTAATCTTTCGATTGCTGGGTTGGAATTGAAAGGGGGCAGGAACAAATCAAGGAGAAAATAAAAAATGCCAAGTTTTGCTGCAGAGGCGGAGAGTGGCTCGTTAGGAAGAGCAGCCACGTGATGATAATGAGAGATGGGAAGGGCAACAGGAATTTGGGATCTTGGATGCTCTCTGTGTCCAGAGCTGAGGGGAAGGGGATTGGAAAGGGGATCAATGGCCCCTGTGGATAATGGCTGCTGGAGGAATCAATTCCTGCCTTTGTATTAAAGCTGCTGTAATTAATAATCACTTCTAAATGTGTTCCTTAAATTTACCCTGCTTTGTGCCTGCCCATCCTCTCCTGTCCCTTTCTATTCCAGACTTCCCTCTTTTGCTTCCCTGCTTTCCCTGAAGATTCCCTGATCCCAATGTCCTGGTGATGCTCCAGGGCTGAGCCAGGCTGGGAGAGCAGGGAATGTTCAGCTGGAGAGGAGAAGGATCCTGGGAGAGCTCAGAGGGCCTGAAGGGGCTCCAGGAGAGCTGGAGAGGGACTGGGG